ATGTTGGGTAGGGAAGCCCTCCCCCCAGCCTATATCCCACTACAAAGAACTGCCCGCAAGGAAGTGGCTCCAACAGAAAGAGGAAGATAACGTAGCAGAACTGCCCCTTCTTTCCATCCTCCCAGTCTTCTTCTGCACCACTCACATGGTTTGTGAATCCTCCTGCTTTTGGGACAAAGGAAAGACTGTGCCAATCTAAAGCACGCAATTGGTTGTACGCCTCAAAAATTGCCATGTAATGTTCCTGTATACACAGAAAATGATGCATAGAACTCCCACACTGCACAGTTACAGGAATTTCTGCTTTGTGTAGGACTAAAAACCTGCCTATTTACATAACACTCAAGCCCATTCTTCTTGAGTTATTTAGATCTCCCTATGGTGGGCAGGACATGAGAAAAGAAAACAAAAATGAAACAAAATTGATATACATAATAGCATATTAATAATGTAAAGTACTGCAAGTCTATTTCACTGCAAAGACTTCTTTATGGGAAACACCAGTATAATCTAATGGGGAACAGCAGTAAAATGTACGAAACTCACCTTGCTGTCTGTAAGCTCATAAATTTTCTGGCTGATGTAGGAGACATCAGGTTTAGGCTCATTGTAAATAGCCCTTCTGGAAATATTTTTATTGGGTTTTGAAAGTCTTAAGGTGCTTCCTTCTAGCCGCACATAAACAGAGTGAGTCAATGTAGCATGATAAGTTTCTGGATCATAATTATAAATTTCATTCATCCATCCCTAGAGAAGAAAAATACTTGTAAGTTATTTAAATTATTGGCAACTTGACACAATACAAAAACTAGACATTCAAGAGTCATCAAAACCATTTGTAGCAAGGCAGAGATTTTCCCCAATTCAACCCACATAAAATGAATACAACAAAGGCACAAGGGGTCTACTACAAAGAACTGTCCTCAAGGAAGTCCCCAGAGATAGGGACACCAGATGGAAGTCCAGGACTGTACTCCTACCTCTAGCACTGGTCTTCTTTGCAAGTTTGGGCTAGTTATTTCTGCACATACCAATTTTTTTTTAAAATCAGTCCAATGGGATAACTATTTTAATCTGCTTTTATTAAAATGCAGCAAGATCTGTGGATGCCAAGCTCTACTTAAATCAATATTTCCTCCTTAGCCTTTTAAACGTGGTCTTAATGACTCCTATTTGAGGCTCAAGAGCCTGCTCTCGCAACGTGCCAAACATCCTCATAGCTAAAAGAAGTCAATGACAAGTGGATAAGGGATGCTGTGCCCTGAAGAAAACTACCCAATAAAAACCTTGCAGAAGGTAAGGTGGGACAGGAAATAAAAGAAATAGGAAAACCACATACACACACAGATCTTGCACAAGCCACCATATCAATGAAGTCTAACATGTTACTGCAACACGCTACGCTACTCTGTTAAAAACAATTTCCCTACCCAAAACCTGCAAAATACCCCTCTGCTTCAGTGGCAGCTACTGCCAGAGTCTCTCAGAACAGACATCCCATATGTTCGTGAGGACTCCTAGCTATTACAGCATTCGCGATACCCATCCTCTGTTCATTTCATGACTTTCATTAAAACCTATGAACACAATACTGGGAAAAGTTAAAGCTTTAAATGTTCAATAGCAATTCTAAGTCACTCAGCTTTGATATTTCAATTAAAAATCCACCACCACACCGTTTTAGAGTTAACCAGCACCAGAACTAGCTTTCTGGAGAAATTTTAGAGTTGGACATGTTCCATCTAGGCAAAACCTAACTGTTGTGTAAATACAAGCGCATTAAAGGAGACAGTCTGGTTTATAACGCACACAGCAGGCTTGCTGTTCGTATTAGGCACAGATACCCATTTCCTTTCTGGAAGTTATTAAGCCAAGAAATCTGAGCAAAAATTTAGTTTTCAGTTGAATTTCATCCAGAAATTCCAGCTGGACTTATCAAAGCACAAGGACACCATGTGACGTGCCAGTCAGAGCAAGTTATTTACTCTATGCAAACACAAGTTATGCGTGCAGTCCACAGACATCTAGAGAAGCTTCCATTTGCTCCCCATGAAGTTCCCCCATGAACTCCCTCTATATCACTTGGTGAAATCAAGAGGCAATGGCCATGCCTCTGGAAGTGGGTCTCCCCTTCATCCTTTTCATCCACATCAGAGCCAAGGCCAGATCTCTGTCTTCAGACAGCCTCAGACACTTCAAAAGAAATAGAAGCTCGCATGTACATACACACACACACTTTCTTTCTTTGTAGATTCCCATACCAATTTTGCCTCAAGTCAGTCACCTGTTACAGTTTCGGCAATAACTGGAGAAGTGTAGGATCTTTCCCTTATCCTGGTAACCTTTCACAGTGGAAACAGATTACAAATAGCAACTTCATCATCCCAATTCTCAGCCTGCCTCTAGTACTCAAGCAGCTGAATTGCCCAAATGATTTACGAAGGCTGAAAGATAACAAGAGCTCTGGATGGCACTAACACTGTCATCACTGACCACGGGTGAGATAGAACCAACTGGAGTGTTTCACAGGCAACACTTACACCAGCGGAGAGTACATGGCACCAAGATGATGCTTGGCTCGCACTCCCATTTTGTTGTTCTGGCTGTAAAAGTCAAATAACGCTCTGCCCATCTCATCCTGACAAGCTAAGACAAGGAGTGAGAATCCACAGATGACAGTTTTCAAGAATGGGTGTTAGTAATTACAAAGAGTGCAAACAAGCACCTTTAAACAGAGAAGTCAACTGCATAAACATAGCTGTTTTATCTAGGTATTTACACTGAATCTCCTTAGTAGCTGAACATCTCCATGATCGATATTATTGTGAAAGCACACCTGAAAGCACTATCACCATCTGTAAAACAGGCAACTGGGGAAAGGGGTAGATTAAAGTTAAAGCTACTTAACCAAGGCCAAGGTCATACCAAGGATCACAGTGAGTCTGTGGCAGAGCAAGAAAGTGAACCCCCATCTAAAGTCGCAGTTCAGCATCCTATGTACTCGACCTTCCATCCTGTCCATTCTCTCCACTATCACGATGCCAGTATCAATCAGCGTTCTTCTGTGATGGAGTAGCAAGTCTGCATCATTAGACAGTATTTTTGTTGATAACACCACAGTGGAAGTTTGCTTAACATTACATCATTACCAGTAGGAAAGGGACACCATTGAAGACACCATTGAAGATAGTCACATTTTCCCCACAGTAACAGAAATGTCTTTCAACTAGAAGACAGGCAAAAAAGGAGGACCGAGACAGGAGAGATGCACCTAGGTTTCCACTGTTTACATATTCCTCCCTCTGTCTCTTGGCTTGGCAGGAAATGGCATGAGAAGAGCCCTACACTGCTTTACTGATCTTTGACATGTGCTAAGGCTTTACATTTACAGAGCTAATCCAGTTATTTTAATCAGCCAGTCAAACAGAAATGCTTCTAAAAATTCTTGTACTTCTCATTCCTTTATTCTCTAAATTCAATACATGAGGGCGCTCATTTTAATATATACTATTTTCCCTGGAACAAACATCAATTTACAGGAATTACAGGAATGAGGCCATTATTGTCAAAAAATGGACTTTTCACTGCCTAACCCCAAACTGGGGCAATCAAGCAACACAGTTCTTGCACGAAACTCAAATACTAACAAATAACTTGAAGTTTAGTTCAAAGAACAAAGCTAAGAAATCCAGATCTTATTACTCCAATATCTGGGATACAATCTAAACATGATGCTGGTAGAACACAGCTCATTCTTTACTTCTAAACCAGCAAAATTTCTTTTTACACTCAATTTTTAACTTCATTGCTGTGAAATGTCTTGAAAAAGTGGTTCACCAGTAGGTGAAAAACCTGTATGGTTTGAAACCAGAAGAGAAATGTTTGTTAAATGTTCTGGGAGTCTGCCCCTATGCAGATGCTTTCCCAACATAAATTAGGGTTCCTCTTACTGCCCCAAGTGGATCTGCTCTGTGAGATCCCGCTTCACAAATGTAAAATTATGTGAAAAGCTCTGTTATTTCCCACCCCCTATTTCTCACCTTAAAAAAAAAGTCTCTCCAAAATTATTGTTTCTGCAAAACACTCCCTAGGAATCCAGTGCAAGCTTTTGATTCCAGGCAACTATTTTGCCATGTGCCAAAACACAAAATTATTAGGCAGCACTTAAAATACAGCAACTTTGAAGTCACAGTCCACTAGTGACAGACAGCTTATTCCACAATATTGGAACAATGGGTTTCATTACTTAGAGGGAGAGGCGGGAGTAGGGACCGTTTGTTTTTTCATACTCCTGAAGCAGTTAAAAAAAATTAAAGTAAGAAATTTGGTAATTCAGGGAGGACAATGGCCACAGTCACATGCTATTTTGCAGCTGTTTTCCATTTGCACTGATCCTGTGATCTCCATCTGCAAAAGGTCAGCAGTTCCCTTTAATTCCCAGCTGGAATTAGGAGAAAGTGTTTAGTTATCAGAAGAACTAGACTGAAAAGGTCTTGTTAACCATTGGGTGAAACTGTTTAGGAAAGGTCAGCCACATTATTCATACAACTAGATGTACCAATTTATCAGCTAGATGCTATTAGACAGTAAAAGAACAATTTTCTGGTTTGACTGAAGGATTCCCTCCTCCATGTTGCCAGTATTAACTCTCCTTTGAAATCAAACAACATAAAGAGTGGGGGCAAGAAACTAGCTCTGACAGAATTCAGTATTTTCGAGTGATGAGGGAATGTGTATAAACTAAAAACGTTTGCGTTTCAACCCAACCAAATCCAATAGGATTAGTAATATGATCAAGAGTTGCAGAGCAGACCCTTTAGGAACAGACATTAGTAAAGTTTTTTTCAGTACAGCATAACATCATAAATCCAGATATCAAAAATACGGAATTCTCAAAAATCTGGCACTTCTAACAAATACACCAGATCGGGGAAGTAGCGGCGGCCATTCCCAGAGCAGTGGAGGAGGAAGCTTGCACATGGTGGCTGCCACCACCACCCTACGCCACCGCTCCCAGACTGGCCCACTCCCCCCCACCCCAGCTCCACGACCAGCAGCTGCTCTGGTTTAAAAAAAAATCCAGAATTTTCACATTTTTGGGAGGTGCTCAGTCTCAAGCATGCCAGACTTATGAAGTTATACTGTATAATAATTTTGGGTCACAGGCACACTACAACTTAATATGACAAACCGACAATGGTTCCAATAGAGCCAATCTACTCAAAATATCAAGTTTACTGCACAAAGATGTCTCCAAGCTCAGTAATGAAAGCTAGCCAGGCTCCATGACAAGCCAAACTTTAGAACATCACTTCTTTAAAGAAGTCACTTGGAAATCTTTCCAAAGAGATTGATTAGCATCCATTAGCATTGAATTAACCTCATTTTAAAGGTCTCCAACTGCCTTCAAGTTCTCACAGGCATTATAACAGGCTGCTTCCACCCTTTTGCAACAAATTCATTTCAAGAATATTGTTTGATTGAAAGTGAAGAAATATATTGCTGTGTAAATGGTAATGTTCAAGTGATGTCACGGCTGTGACGGCCCAGGAAGTGCGAGAGCAAGGATTTCTGTGGGCAATACCTTTTATTGGACCAACTTCAAGGTTCGTATGGGACTTAGGCAAGCTTTCAAATGCAATGCATTCTTCCTCAGGTCTGAGGTGCTAGGACCCTGACATGGTGGCATGGGGAAAGCAGTCACAGCTGGCACTCCTCCCCTCCAATTGCCAAATGCTGTCATCAAA